AAAATATAAACATTCATTTTTGTTAATATTTGCAAGTTTCTATTCATTTTCAAGAGTTAAATTATATCTCTAAATAACAATATTTAGAAAACATGTGTTCTAAAATTGAAGTCATCTCGTCTACTATGATGTCATATTGTATCACTGATTTAGTCAAGTCAGATTTTCTTAGTGCTTCCTTAACACACCTGCGTGACTTGAAGCAGCTTTGATGAAATCTTTGTAACCTCAACTTGTTTGTCAGTAGCTTACCTCGGTTTAAAATTGATCGTACTCAGAGCATGTTCTTGCGTATCTAATCAGTTAGAGAGACATAAGCATTATAATATGTAGGTGATGTTTGAATATTACTATACATATAAGGGAAGTTACAGATGGAAAAGCTGAAGCCATCCCGTTTGTCATACAGTTAAATTATTATTTGGTCATTATCGTCTATAGTCAGTAAAATATTCAAATATGAAACAAATGTGGCTAATTCTTTATTTTCTTTTATTTGAAGTTCACTTGGATATATCGAGTCGACATATGGATGAAGTAACTATTTTTAATTGATAAAAGGTCGTTGATATATCTAATGTCAAGTTGAAGGCCACAGCAAGAGATTTCTTCTTGTGTAGAAGTTTTTGAATAAATTCTGCTTCGTAGGAATTTAAAAACAAGCGGGCTATTAAAGGAGCACAATTAGGGCCCATTGGAATTGCAACGGATTGTTGGAAGATCTCCTTTCCAAAGACTACATACATCATTGACATTGTCAATGGGGAACTGAAGCATCTTTATAATATCAACTTCGGAGTACTTGTATGTGGAATCAGAATGATTTTTAAATTTTTATACCCGCACTTTCTAAAGATAGTTAATAGATACCCTGGTCATTCCGTCCATCTGTCACACTTTCTTCTTCCTCAAACTTCTCTTTTATTTTTAGCAGTAATCAATTCATCTTTTGGAATATGATAGGTGGTGCCCTGTAGATGTGCAATAAGGTGTCGGAATTTTTATTTTTACTCTAGGATCGAAAAATGACTTTTTTCTACATAAAAAACATCGGTTCCAAGAACTCATCTTACATTTCAAGCAGTAACTAAATCATCTTTTAGAAGGTGAATGGTGGATGTGCAATAAAATTTCAGAAGTGCCTTAAGGGTCACCTGAGTATAATACAACACTGTAAGGGATCCATAGAAGTATAAAACAAAATTAACTAATAGACGAAGCAATGTTTCACAAGAATTTCAAAAATCTGGTAAAAATACTCTTGCTTATTGTACAGTGCTAGTGATCTCCTTGGGATCATACATGGTCTTCCCAAGCCTTAAAGGGATGATAATGAATGCAAAATATACAAATACAATGGACACTTGCCTATTGTGTAAGGTATTCAATAGATGCCACTTGCCTAGTGTTACAATTCAGTACACAGAGACTTGGCTGTATAACGTTGCTATTGCCACTTTTCACTCATTACGCTCTCTGTGATTCTTTGTTCACTTGATAAAGTATGTAAAGCTTGTTTTCTATCGTATTTAGTTCATTGGCTTAATACCCAGGAGCAGAGGAGAAGATGTATTTAGAAATTAATACATTTTCACTACATAATCATTAGAGCCCCACCCTAACACCAGAACCCCTGACCCAGGGGCAATGAAATTCTCAATTTTAGAAAAGGCACTCTTCCTCGTCATAACTGTGTACTTTGTTCATCTGCTAAATACCAAGGAGCAGAGGAGAAGATTTTAAAAGAATTAGTGCATTTTCACAATGTAATCATTAGAGCCATGTCCTATCACCAGAATCCTTGACCAATGGGCAATGAAATTCACAATTTTGGAAGAGGCACTTTTCCTTATCATAACTATAACTTAGTATTTGCTTAATACCCAGGAGCAGAAAAGATGATTTGAAAGAATTGATGCATTTTCACAATATAATCATTAGAGCCATGCCATTACACCAGAACCCCTAACCCAGGGGCAATGAAATTCACAATTTTGGAAGAAGCACTCTTCCTCATCATAACTATTACTTAGTATTGGCTTAATACCAAGGAGCAGAGGAGACGATTTTTTGAAGAATAAATGATTTCTTTTACAATTTAATCATTAGAGCCCCGCCCTATCAGAAGAACCCCTGACCTAGGGGCAATGAAATTCACAATTTTGGAAGAGGCACTCTCTCTCTCATCATAACTATGTGCTTAGTTTATTGGCTTTATACCCAAGAGCAGAGGAGAAGATTTTAAAAGAATTAAAGCATTTTCACTATATAAGCAATAGAGCTCCGCCCTAACATCAGAACACCTGACAAAGGGGTCATGAAATTCACAATTTTCGGAAGAGGCACTTTTCCTCGTCATAACTATGTGCTTAGTTTATTGGCTTTATACCCAGGAGCAGAGAAGAGGATTTTCAAATAATTCATGCATTTTAATTATATGATCAAATGAGCCCCGCCCTAACACCAGAACACCTGACCTTGGGGCCATGAACATTTGATTGTTTTCGGTTCAAGAGAGTGTGAGTGACCCCCCAGGGACTCGTTTCAATGTATAAGTTGTGGTATCAATGGTCTTTGACCCTTTTCAAACTACAATTATTTTACCGCGTTCTACACCTTAGTTTATTTATTTATTTCTCTCAGACCATACAATGGTATATGAGTTTCATGAACATATTTACATATATACAAAATACAAAGTCAAGTAAGGAAGAGTAGTATCAAATGAAAGAATATTACTGAAAACAGGCCAATATCTTTATAAAAAACAAAGACAGCTTTATAAGTGAGTCAATATTTGTGGTGGACATAAGATTCTCAAACTTATAAGTATTTACATGAAAGCAATACTTCTTATCAATAAGTTTCATACGTAATGAGGAAAAGTATGGACACTCCATTACATAATGGAATTCATCACCTAAAGTATTTTTATTACACAAATTACATATTCTTAAAGACCTGTAGGTATTAGTCCATCTACCAGCTTCGATTGGAAGTTTGTGGTTACAAATTCTAAATTTTGTCAATATAATTCTTAAATCTTTTGGGAGTTTACTTAGGTACATTTCCCGTCCAAAATTGTTTTTAAAAATCCTGTAATTTAAACATCTAGATGAATTTTCTATGCTCATATGCCAGTCTTGTAAAAATTGACTTAACAATGTCTCTTTCACAATATATTTTAACCAAGAAATACTAAAAAAAAATGATTCATCCACACATAAGACAGAACACATGAATTCAAAATATCTCTTAAACATTTCAACCATGGATGCATAAATAAACCTTCAGAAAAGCATTTATGGAGAAAGCAACACATTATATATGTAAACTTACGTTCATGTGACATCAAAAGTTTAGCCCAATAAGTAATCATTCGTACCTTTATACGTATAATAAAGGGTATCGCCCAGTTTCCCATATACCATACAATTTGGAGTGCTGGATTTAACATGTAAAACAAATTTCAGAAATTTTAAGTCTACCATTTCTTCTACACGTGAGTTTATCTTCACCAGCTCTACCGTTTGCTATAATTATATTGTTATTTTGACAGAATTCAATGCATTTGTACCCTTAATTATTGCAAGTAGTATCTACAGGTAAACGATCAAGTTTTATATTCGTGTCACATAAAATGCTACCATGTGTAATAGCTTGTCTTGTTTCTTCATCCCAATTGTTATGATCTGCTATAAATTCATCAATATTTACATAGTCCTACCTTAACTACTAATGGCACCCCCTAATTATAATGTAATTACTGCTTGTTATAGGTGCTGATAATTTCATAAACTTATAATCCATTTAAAACACACTATGAATTTCTACGGATAATAATGATGTATACACCACATGCAATCTAATAATGAGAATGGTTTAATATAAATTTTCTACTTGTATACCTTTTAGGAAAATTTTAGATCCGCGCATAGCGTTGGAGTTGCGTCACGTCGGAACTAGTGTAATAATTACATACGATTTAATAATTACATACGATTTATTTTACATAACTTTGTTATCTATTCCAAATATGGAAGGAAAACAGGTGAATCATGGGTGGGACTGGTTTGACAAAGTTGATTGGGTATAGGTTTGGAAAGGGTTTTTCCTATCATGATACTGATCAAAGTTTGCACAATTCGATTATTTCCAAAAGTTGTCATTTTGGCATCTATTTTTTTTTTTAACTTTATCAAAAATGCTATGCACTAAAATGACAAAGTTGTAATGACAGAAGATTGAACAAGTACCAATCTTATTTCAAAAATTCTCTTTTAACCAGAATTTACGTCTTTGAATTCTGTAAATGTCAGACCGGTAATGTATTTAGTACATGAAATATTTACATAAGAAGACCACGGGTCACATGTTCACCTGAGAATTTTATACTCGATTTCACAAATACATGTATATATTTTGTGTTAATTATAGTATGTGGCTTCTTCCCTGACTACTCAAATATAAAGGAGGGTGCATTTAGAGGCAAACACCTATTAGTTTAATAATAAGGTATTATTGTTTTATGACAGATAGTTTAAGAGATTCTACCGATCTAATACGAGACAGTTATTGAGTGTATTTCGCTTAAAAGTCGCCTATAAAAGAACAAAGTATGTTATGATTACTTTATATAATTTTAAATTGGAATATACAAGTAACTATATGATGATTGATCTGATTTTGTCACTAACGTAAATACCCGCCATTTTGTGCAATTGTATGTTGTATGATGCTGTGTAAACAGCAGGCAGATTCTCCCCAAATCAAAATTCTCAACGAAATACTTGTCAGAATGTTTAGAGATCTAGGATGGGTGCATTTTTATTTGATTATAGAGGAAATGTTGTAAAATCAAATGTAAACCTTGGAATTTTATTTACTTTCCAACATGTCCTACTTGTGGCGAAAATAACATTGGACTGTCAGATCAATTTGTATTGATAATACTTATCTTGTATGTGTGTTCATTTTCTATTTGAAGGTGTAGTACTCACCTGCGACATTAGGTGTTGTACCTTCTGTAGTTCGTGTATCTGAAGAGAAAGAAAACAGATGAGTTTCTCTTAAAAATAAAATATTACAAATTTTGTCTGTATTAAATTAAATAACGCACAATAACCTTTGGAAAGTAAGATTCCCATCCTGTTAGGTTTTGATTTTCTAGAAGAAAAGAAAGAAAAGGTATTTGTTAATAAATAGATTTACAGAAATAGGCAAAATATTTTGTAAATTATGTTTAGAAATATCTGTTTTTGATATAAAAGTTTTTAAAAAAATACCTTTTTACCCGTATGTGGGTGATGTTATCCTTTCTGAAATTCCGGTACGGTATGGTTTTTGGAAAGACGAAGTTATATATGTGCCTTTTAAATAGAGAAAGCTTTAAACTCAGAATTCTATTGGTTGACAATCTTTATGACGAATCGTATATAGTCTTTCATGATCACATGCTGCCATTTGGATTTCTGAAGGAGAGAATAATTGTGCGTTATCATCAGGTAAGGTTTTTAAACAATACACGCACTAAATTTGCTATTTTCTGCTGCATTTTTAAAACAGTTCAGTGTAATTTATTAATTACTTTACACCTATATCAAATTCATGTTCATTGAAAATAGCTGAACTACATCTTTAAATATCAAAATTTTCAATGCATATTTTTTACATATATCAGACTGTATTTGGTGCCATGATGCATTCAGTTTTGATAATATGAAGGGGAAAAGTGAACTATGTGTTAGTTGCACTTACAGTTCAGAAAGGTCATAATGACCGTAGCGTGAATGCACATAATAATTCCCCTTTTGGTTTTTATTTTCATTTCCATTTGACCTATGTGTGCAGATATTTAAGAGAATGCTTTTAACAAATGATTGCACGATTAAACCACCTTATGTATTTTCATTTGATTTTACCCTGAAATTTGCTGTGCCCTTTTACAGCATTCATAAATAAAGGTATATTCAATTTCGTACATGTTTAATAATAACACAAAGAGACATTCTTTGTCCTAGAAATATTTTTTTCTATTTATTAACAAAAAGCAGTTCTAAGTCTGAAAATAAATCCTTCAAAATTTAGTATTTAAACTTACAGTTTTGCAAATTAATATTTAAAGCATCGTATAATGGGTTATTTTAGCGATGGACAATAGTTATTTAAAGTGATCATTTATAATGAGGGTAATAAATTTTTTAACTGTTTGGGGAACAAATTGAAATGTATTTATATGTGACAATTATTATTATTATCCTTGCCAAAACTGTCGCTTATAATGCCAGAATGAGATGGATGCTTAAAATTTCTGTTATACGGAAATTTCAGTTTTTTAAAATTAAATTAGATATCACTTTTGTGTCAGAAAAGTTTCAAGAAAGTATGAACCAAGTTTGATCCTTAAATTGAAAAAAGATTTTTCCTTTCAATTATTCATTTTTAGATTATAAGAAAAATTAAGGGAGGTTCGAAGAGGCATCAGGCATTTTTTTTTTTTAATAATTCAAAACTTTTTTTTATGACCAAATTATTATGCAAATTAAAATTAATATCGTTAGAAACATTACTTTTCTCTTCTGAATGGTCGAAATATGTCAAATTGTTTTATTTTTTTTTTTAATTTTAAATATTATGATAAAAGATTAGGTTACATCTTCTAATGAAAATAGAATATCTGTGTCTGAGAGTATAATTTTTGGTTCTTCAATGTATAGCGAATGACTGTCACGATGTTAGCTGCCTATTATGTCTTACAAAATCTACGTAACTGACTAGTTCATCCAAAACCCCTAACCTAAATTCATGTGTCAGCTGTCGTGTCTTAGGGATAAATAATTTTGGAGAACGTATGCATTGTTCTTAAAGATTTTGAGCAGTCCCATAGCGGTCCTTGAGCAGTCCCAGAACAGTCCAAAAGCGGTCCGAGAGCAGTCCCGGGGGACTGGGACCAGGGATGGGGTAATTGAAAAAAGTAATTGTAATTGAGTGTAATTAATTACATTTTTCAAAGTAATTGGAAGTAATTTGTAATTGACTATTTTTTCAATTACTTGTATTTGTAAATTAATTAATTACACTAAAAAAAACGTATAATTTCAATTACTTTTCAATTACATTTCAATTACTTTACAGAACTGAACTGAATTTATTAATCTCTTCACAATTTTACAATTGTATACAGAGATATAAATGTAAACAATGATGACAAATAAAAACAAATTTTAGCATGTGTGAGTATGAGGATAGAAAAATAGTACAATTATAGATCTTTACTAATTCGGGGAGCACGTTTTAGTAATTTTTCTAATAAATGTAGACAGTTTTCTTAAAAAGGATTGTTATTCTGAATTCATTATATCTCTGAATGTAATTGTATTTTTAAACCGTAATTGTTTTTGCGATAAGCATTTATTTCTTTCGTGTATCACTGACGTACAGTTTAATATGTAATGGAATTCATTGCCTATTTCATTTAAATTACATTTTTTACATAGTCTCGTTTCTCTTGGTTCATTTAGCCAGCGTCCATTTTCAATCGGTAAATAATGATTGCAAGAACGGAATTTGCAGAAATTAATGGCATCTTTTCGGGATAGAATATCCAAGTATTTTTCAAATTTTAGTTCGTCTTTGTATATTCTGTAATTTAGAGTCTTTGATAAGTTTTGAACATCCGAATTCCATTTTTGTTTAAATTGATCAAGTAAAGTAAGTTTTACTTTCGATCTCAACCAATTTGGATTAAAGGTCTGACTTTGCCAAATATTTGAAAGTCCACAGTTGTTTAAAATATTCAAGACATTATTTAGCCAAGCAATCGTCGTCTTTTGATTTACGATTTCACTTAATTTGAACAGTAGGCTTGATATTTTTGTTTCCTTTCCAAGTTTAAGTTTGCACCAATATGAAATAATACGCGTCTGTATTTCAAGGGACATTGGATCGGATGTCGACCAAGTTCACCATACACCATACAGTCCGGAGTAGTTTGTTTAAGGTTAAGAAGTAGTTTACAAAATTTAAATGTACTCTGTCTACAATTGCATTGTTCGAAAATCCCCATACTTCACATCCGTACAGCAATATAGGCTGAACAATTTTATCAAACATGATAAATATTATTTGTATTTATTAGGGAAATATTTCCATCACAGTTACATTTTACAGTTTTTTTTTTATTCATTTAAAACATTCTCAGCCCTTTTGTTTTTCAAATTCTCAAACTTTTTTACATCCTTATAAATGAATTTGATATATTGACGTATTTATAATAATCATGATAATATTTTGATTTTTAATCATGATGCACCATATAGAATTAAGATGAGTTTAATGTTTATCTAAAATTTTGTTCTACCCTTCTATGATATAGCCATGAAACATTTCAAGTTTTTGTTGCTTGATTGCCAAATAAAAAATAGTTTAATGTGTCATTAAGACCTGCCTTGTGGCCCTTCAAATCACAGCTGTAAATTTCTCTCAAAACAACCCCCCAAAAGGTTATTTATACCATTGCTTTTTTTAACTATAAAGATATGACAATTAGAGGTGATTTAATGAATACAATTAAGAAGGCTCAATAATTCATGTATTTCAGAGGAGAAATCTTTATTAAATCATCATTTTAACATCTAAACATATATCTTTATAAATAAATTAAGTGTCTGAAATAGTTATCATATAATTTAAGTATTATTTATTTTATGAAAATTCTCAATAGGTGTTAAGCTTTAAACCTACAGATGAAATAATTTAAAAGTATTCACTCTTAAGCTTGGAAACTTGCTTATAATCAAATTTCATTTTATTTTGGTGATTGATAAACAGGTCTGGACGATTTCCAAATATGGAAGTCAAGAATGATAACTAACAGTTTCTATAAATAAACATCATATATATACACGTAAATATATTTCTGCCCAATCAGACAACAACCTTTTAGCACACCCCAAAACATATTTCAAAGGAACTAAAAGAGAACACGTGCTTTTGTTTTTTTACCTCAAAAAGATTTTTTCTGACAAAAAGTCTTTGAAGTAAGATGAAAAGTTTGGAAGAAAAATATATTCCCTACATATTTACCGTGAACAAACTTGACATTTTTATCACGGAAAAAAATTAGTGCATGTAACAATGCGATCGTTTACGGGGGAATAGATCACACCGTCAAGCTATTATAAAGTACAATTATAACATTTACCAGAACATGCTCTATGTTGGTAAATATAATTTTCCTTATCCGTCTGATTTTCATCGATAACGCGTAATTCCCATGCATATATTTCTACTGCACACAAATGTTCATCGTATAGACTACATGTAGTTTTAAAATATCACGGGTTTCATGAGCGCCGAATACCATTTAATACACACTTTAAATGGACATAAGTAAATATGTAAAACGTGGAGAAAAGGAAATGTAGATGAACGCTTTTTATCACCATGACTTACCACGCATACCAGAAACTGGACGATTTTGTAATAAACACTCAGGAAATAATTAAGACTATTATATTACCTTACGAAAATATTTTCATGTCAGGCTCTGAAAACTAAAAATCTGCCGTAATTATTTCAAATTTCTTACAAATTAAACGTTTTGGATTGCTACCTCGTAGTTACATATTTTTCACCCCTACTAATGTGTTTGGAACCTTTTATTTTTCGGTGTTATGCAAATTATAAAACTCGAGGAGTTCAGAGTAGCTCTGACAGTAGCGCTGGCGAGATTAAGCGAGACTACAGCGAGATAAGGTAAATGTGGCTAGGAAGTGACTTCCACATGGAGACATGGTAAACAGAAAAGTTATGTTGCATTTCAATTTTCACCACAGAATAATATCTGTAGAAATGTACATCAGTATCTTTTGAATTCATTCAAACTTCAATAAGTATTCCTAATGAAATTATTTTCTGCAGTTATGTATTAAAATTTATTTTTGAACAAAAATACTTGCAAGGAAACTGGGACTATTTTTTTGGCGTCAGATTAGCAAATGAGTTAACATGGCTTAAACTGAAAAATCACCTGAATGAGTTGAATTGCATTGTGGGCTACTACGGATACTACAGGAATTTTACGCTTGGGAAAAACCCAAATCTACAGGCGATCGGAAAAGCACAATGAACATTTTTTTCATGTATTTCGTAGATGAAAAGTAATTTGTCCATTTTTATTCTATTATTCCAATGCTCACAATTACAAACAATTCATTTGTTAAATAAACGTGGAATTCTAGTTTTTCTCAAAGTCAGACTGTAAGGCGATTTAATTGCGTCTGTATTCCTTTGTTGTACTATCGGTGAATACAATTGTCAGGTGGGTTCCCTGGCGAAAAACACAAGTGACCACGGGTATTGTAATGTGAAAAAAAATCTTTGCTGTCCATTTAACTGTTTAAATGCCTAGGAGATGCTGCTCGTTTTCCTTAACCTTGAAGTGCTGGTGTTCTGAACGTGACACAGACTACCTATTATTATAATATTTCTAGCTAACAACGTA